GCCACATCTGCTTCTGGGAGGACTGTCCGCGCGAGGCCAAGCCCTTTCAAGGCCAAATACAAGCTCATCAAACCACATCCGCGTGCACACGGGGCGAGAAGCCCTTTCCCCTGCCCCCTTTCCGGGGCTGCGGGCAAGGTGTTCCCTGCCCCTTTCCGGGCTGCGATCCACAAAGCGCACTCATACAGGAACCTCAAGATCCACAAGCGCACTCATACAGGTGGGTGTCCGTCCCCGGCCGCGCCGCCGCCGCCGCCCCTGGCACCGCCGCCGCTTCCGCCGCCGCTTCTCTTCCTCCTCCTCCTCCTTCTGCTCGCCTTCATTTTTCCCTCCTTCTGCTGCTTCTCTTCGCATACGTATAACCCGGACATGTGACTTCTTTTTTTTCTCTCTCCCCCCTTTTTTCTATGAATAAGTAATTCGATAGCACACACAGGCCCCGCGCTGGGTTCCCACATGGCGGAGTCTCCAGCTCTCCCGCCGCCTCTCCGCCGTGACGGGCACCGCGCTCCAGCAGCCACCGCCGCCCGGACAGAAGCTGCAGCAGCCGGGAGCAGGAAGGCGCCCAGGACAGTCGGCAGCCCCCACCCGTCCGGCCCGGGATCTCGGGGAGGGCGATGGGGAAAGGGGGGGGCGGGGGCTGCAGCCGGAGCCGCCCCGGAGGCTCTTTCCTCCCCACCCGGTGGCGGGCACCGCGTGTGAAAGGGGGGTGTGGTGTTTGCTGCGGTATTGGGGCCACCAGGCCAGTTCGGTGTGGTCCTTCCCTTGCGGGGTGGAGTGCAAAATGCTAAAGGAATGAGGCCCCTGGAGACCCCCCTACACACACACTCGCCCCCTCCACACAGACACCTTCACGTGCACACACATCACACAAAGGACTTCACACACCTGTATGCCCTCCTGCGCCCCCCCCCTCCTCCTATGACCGGACACACTCACCTTCTAGGGAACACTCTCACTTACACACCTCCATGCACACTCATGCTCACACACCTCCATGCACACCCATGCTCACACACACATGATCACACAGGACCTCCAGGCTACTGGACAAGGCGGCGTCTAGTTGGAGGAGTGCAAGGCCGGCTGCAAAGCCTCTGCTGCCTTAGAATTTAGGGGAAGCCCGGGCACCGTGGAGACCCCTCCTAACCCTCCCCAGGCCCTGACTTTGGGGGCGCCGAGGCCCTGGGTGAGGGTGAGGGTGATGGAGGGAGGGGGCGCCTTGCGGGTCGCATGCTCCCTTTGAACAGACCAGCGCGTTGCGAGGACGCGCTGACGAGTGCGGGCGCAGTCGGAATTTATGGGGACAGACAATATCACCCCTCGGAGGACACTTGAGTAACTGGAGTTTACTCTCCGTAATTACTCGGCTGATTTATCGGCGGCGCGGCGGGGGCCGGGGCGTCCCGGGGTCCGCGGGGGGAGCCGGGCCCGCTCCTGCGGGCCAGCACCTGGCAGGCCTCGCGTGGGTCCGCAGAGGACGGGCCGGACCCCCTTGGGCCAGCCGGGCTCCTTTCTACTCGGACCGTCCGCCATAGTGATTTCTCCAAAAGGAAACGTCCCACGAGGCTCATCGTAAAGACTACGGCCTGCTGCTTGCCCCTGTGCGCAGCACTCCCGGGCGGGGTAGGGGCCTGGGGTCCCGATGGGGGCACGCGGGGGAGGGAGAGGTCCCCAGAGGGAACCCCTAAAGGAGAGCCTGCGGCCTCGGCCCTTCCCTCCTTTCCAGGCCTCGAAGGGGGAGTGGAGCTTCCCTTCGCGGGACCAGAAGCCGGGGGAGCAGAGGCCCCTGGAAATTGATGGCTGGGCAGCTGGCCTAGGTCCCTGCTCTCCGGCCCTTCCTGACCACCTACCCCCCCCCCCCCAGGAGGGGGCGTGTGCGGGTCCCTGTGGCCGTTTTGTTTTCTGGTTCCACGTTGCGTGGTTGCATGGATGCCGGGCTCCAGGGACCGCATAGGCCTCGCCGGGTCCCCCGGGGAGGGAGGCGCCCACCACACATTCATACTCAAACCCGCGCGCGTTGGGTGCGGGGGTGGTGTTGGCGGTCTCGGGGCCCCCTAGCCATTGAACATTGTGTCCAGGGAGGGACCATCGGGACTCCCTCCCTGCTCTGCCACTTTCCCTTTGGGGGGTTACCCGTGAACCCGGAACATATTGATCAAAAGGAATAATCCCCTGACCACTCCTGAAGGCCCATTTCCTGACCCACGTGCCCCCAGTTGCATTTATAACCTTCCACTGGGCCAGAATGGAGTTCTCTCTGGAGAGGGACCCGGCAGGACCCGGGAGTCACCCACACGCAGCTTCCATCACTCTCTGAAGCTCTGTAAGTCGTCGAGGTCTGACGTGACCTCTGTGTCAGAGTCTGAAATGTAAACACTGGGTCTCCCCCTTCCTGGCCAGGTAGAATTTGCTCACTGTCCCCTTAGTTCCTCGGAATAAAATAGGCAATTCTGTCACCATTTTTCCCCCCTTCGTGTTTCCTCCATTTCTTCATCCTTGATCTTCTACCTTTCCACCCCACACCTCCCCTTTACTGGGTCAAATTGCTTCTCTTTCACGTGCAGTGCTGGCGCCAGCAATGTTCAAGCCATTTATCCTTCATGATCTGGAAGGTGTAGCTTGTACAGAAACATGAGAATTCTAAACACAACGTTGCACATTTGCATACAGTGAATAAAACCCACCTAAAGTTCCATATTGAAGAAAGGCTGATTATAATTTTTTTTAAAAAAAAGAATGCTATATTATTATCTCCAACTTAAAGTAGAATACAGAAATCAGGGCAAATAACCAATGTTTTGATTTTTTAAAAAATGGATTAATTTTTTTGTTGCAGCTCATCTACAGAGAATTTTTAAAGGTTGGGATTATCATTGTGTTATGTTGTTTTCCTCTTGTTATGGGGTCAATGTAGGAGGTATACTTGAATAGTATCTAATTTTATTCTTAAACATTATTTCCAAGTAGGATTAGTTATATTCCAGGCATCTGAATCCTTTCAGCGGTGCTAACATACACTGGTATTGGTGAAATTAATAACAATAAACACTACACTGAAATATTTGTATTAAGATAGTAAAATTCCCCACAATAACTTATACACACTAAACTGTCTTAGTTGTTTTTAAGAAGAAAAAGAAATTGATCAAAACCAAGGAAAGGACATACCTGTGCGTCATCAGAGTAGCTGCTGAAATGTGGAGAAACCCAACTTTACTTTTTAAATATGAGGCAAATATTAATATGGTAGTATATATGAAGTGATTTGTTCAATTATGGACTCAGATACATCAAGTTCATACATACTAAGGTGAGAAGGAAAATTCATACTACTACCTGCTGCCTTTTTTTGCTTTCTGATACCACGGTGTGACGTGGCTGGTTTTCTTGTTGTCTTATTGAGCACTTCCACTTCCATGATGAGTGGCCTTGTGTTTAAAAGTATTGTGTTCCTGGGAGGTTAGAGCAGCTTAAAGGGGTGATGGGCCAAAAGCCTGGTAAATAGCCCATTTTTTAAAAACTATCGAACAATGTAGGAAGCTGTTGGGATATTTCACTGATGGCAGCAGGGAAACACCGGGCGGGGGCTCGTGTTCCTTATTAATGTTTGTTAAGGCTCGATTCCACTAGGCTCTTAATTGCCCTGCAAGTTGTGAGGAAAGCTGGTAGAAGGAAGAGGCCAATGGCCATTTCTGTGCCAGGCTTGTAAAAACATCTAGTGGTCGGATAGTGTGTTTCACAGGTGCCCTTATTGCTGAAGGGAACAGGATTTTGTTTTATTTCCTTTCCCATAAGTGAAATCTTGGGGAACACTCTGAAACAAAATGCCATAATAATTTTATTACACCACCCCCAGGTACTTTTAATTTAGTGTATGTACTCATTTTTCTTGTATTAAAAGTATCATTTTATCAGCATTTCTCTTGACAGGCTGCTTGTATTTTTGCATGTATAGAGCCTGAGGGGAATGAAGACGTGGGTATTCAGGTCCTGGTTGGGTTTCGGTGTTACATCTTGGACCATGTACATCTTGGACCATGTTCTAGTCATTCTCTCCCTGGCCCTTATGGTGCCACAGGGCTGACATCTAGCATCTCACAAGTCCAGTCCAAGGAGAGCCTCCAGACCAGTGGTCAGCACCCATTCCCTGAAGTATTCTTTCCCTGTTGCGTCCTGGAACATAGGTATTAGACCGGGAGTTGGTCTTCTAGAGAATGGGAAAATGCATCCTTATTTCTGCTCCAAGATTTCTCTCTTAAGTCTGAGAGATCTATGACAAGCAATTGTTAACCTTTCGTATGTTTTGTTGCAGGGGAAAAGCCTTTCAAATGTGAATTTGATGGCTGTGACAGGAAGTTTGCCAACAGCAGTGATAGAAAGAAACACTCCCATGTCCACACCAGCGACAAGCCCTACTACTGCAAGATTCGAGGCTGTGACAAATCTTACACTCACCCGAGCTCCCTGAGGAAGCACATGAAGATTCATTGCAAGTCTCCACCACCTTCTCCAGGAGCCATTGGCTACTCATCAGTGGGGACTCCACTGGGTGCCCCCTTGTCCCCTGTGCTGGACCCAACAAGGAGTCGCTCTACCACTCTCTCCCCTCAGGTGACCAACCTCAATGAGTGGTACGTTTGCCAGGCCAGTGGGGCCCCCGGCCACCTCCACACACCTTCCAGCAACGGAACCACTTCTGAGTCTGAAGATGAGGAGATATATGGGAACTCTGAAGTTGTGCGGACGATACATTAGAATTTATTAAAAATAATAGCAAATAAAATAGTAGATGGGAGTCCTTGGACCATATCCTAACCTGAGACGATGCCGAGCCTGGGAAAATCTGTGACTCAGACTTGCCACCGGGTCTAATTAGCCCTATTTATTTGGTATGAAACCCTATGGTGTTTGTACATTTAATTAATTTAATTAAGATATTTGGGCTTTCCCCCCCTCCTAGAAAACAAACAAAAAACTGGACTTTACACATTGCAGGGGGACAGGGCTGGGAGCAAATTCTACCAAGAAAAATGAATGGAGAGTAGTTGATCAAGATACACACTGCTAATAATATATATGTATATGGAGAGAAAGAACAATAAGTCAGAACTCAACAGAGCAACAAGGCCCTCTGCATTTCCTAGAGTGCCTTGCAAATGCCTTTGATACCATAACATGGGCTTCTTTGGAGCCTCTTAGCCTCCTCCTTGGGCCCTAATTCTGCAAAGTCCTCTTGATTGTAAACCACACACTTGCTGCATTGCCAACAGATCATGGGACTCTTAGACTGTACCTGTGTCCAAAAATATTTGTAAAAACCTTTTAAGTTCTATTACTTGTCATTTTCCATCTCCACTTTTTATTACTGATCCCACCTAAACACTGTATTTTTACACAGGATATTCAGTACCTTGCTTGTATGATTAAAAAAAAAAATGCAGCAACCTGACTACATTTCCATATATTGTGCTACTGTGATTGTTCAAGCAAAAGTGGAGATAAGAGAAAAAGCTGCTGCAAAAGACAACTGTGAAACTGCTATTTTATAAAATAGAAGAAATTCAAGTGCTTTCTTTTTCCTGATTTTTTAAAACTCTGAAATCTCTGATGCTGCCTCTTTACTATGTTCAAACTTCTTGTGTAATGAGGAAATTATGTTTTAGATCCTAAGTTCTTTGGGATGCCAGAATTAAAGGCAAGGCTAGGGAGGTGTGAAGTTGGCAGCATGCCTATTTTTTTGAAAGCTGTTGTTTTTGAAATAGGCCAACTCCTCTTTTATACTCTTGTATTAACCTTTTAAAAAGCCTTTATTTTTCGATGCCCGAAAGTGCATTTTAATGCATTTTCTTCCACCTGAGCACTGAGCACACGGAACTCTGTCCCATTTGAAAATGACAGTGTGTGAAGTGTATGATTTACATTAAAAGAGGGGAGGGAGTTGCTATACATATTAAAATTTTTAAAAGGTTTATAGTTACCACCAAACATTGATGAATGTGTGACCTTTGCCAGAGCTGTCAAGCTAGGATAAAAAAGGTCAAGGACCTAGGACAATAACTCTTAGTCAATTTATTTTCGGTTGGTACAACACATCTTGTGTGCAAAATGTAGTCCATCATAAACATCATACAAATACACTAAAGAGCACTAATTTATCCTCGGAGACCCTGAAGACACCCCTCCCCAGGGTTTGTAGAAACTTGTTTCGTGTACTGTGAGTGGTTGTAGTGTTATTGTTAATAACCTTTATGGGAACACTATTTGTACAGCTGAATTAATTTATTTTCAGACATCCTTTTTTCTTTCCTGGAAGAGTTCAAAGCACACCAAAGAATTATATTATACATTTTGGTGAAAGATTGTTGTTTATGATCCATGGTTTATTTAAAAAAAAAAAGGAGAGAAAATGGAAACATATATTTTTAAACTTACTTGAATGAACAACGTAATGTGAAACCAGGACTCTTCCTGCATGTCTTTTTTGCATTGTGTTGAGATTATATATAGTTTATAGATATATTATATTACTAGTACAGTGCATGGTGCTGTCACTTTGAAAGCCTTTCAATGTTGTCTTCAAATTGTTATGGTGAATATTAAACATGCAGACCCTCCTTTATAAAGAAAAAGATCATAAAACTTGATATAAAATGAGTCTACATTTAAAAGTTTATTTGATTTTCCTATTCACTTTCAAATCTCTTTCAAATAGACAAAAAAGGTATGAACTTTGGGGGGATAATTTATGTATTGTAAACTTAGAACAAAATATTTCTGATTTGTAATGAGTTGTTTTATTTATACAACTTTTTCAATGGTAGTTTGCACTATTCTTTATTATGCTACAGGTTTATTTATTATGAAACAAAAGAATATGTATTTTATGTATTTTGCCATGCATAGGTTAACCCTGCCACAGATTTATTGGTTCCTGATACACCTAAAATGAAAAACTTAAAATGTGTACCTTCAATAGAAAGCAAGGATGATTATGGAGTAAAAATTTAATAAAGGTATTCTTCCTATGTATTGTTTGTTTTACATAATGGGATATTTCTGCCATTCTCTTCCAAATAGAACAGGTTGCTGACATAATGAACATTAGGTTCTCTTTCCTTGACCTCTTTATTTCATAGGCTCTCCCCAAGCAATAAAATATTTTTACAGCTTTGTTTAATTTACAATCCAATCTAGAAAATGCAATATATCCATGAAGACTAAACCCTGCAGGTTGCACCTAACAGTAGCATAAATCTTAGGGGTTATCGCATTCATTTGTTAAAATTAATATCCTCAGTGATCCTAATCAGTAAAAAGTGAATTTTAACTTTTCTTTTTTGGTGCCTAGCCTCTACAGTAAATGTCAAAAGGAATGAGGAAAAGATTGAGGGAGGGGCAGAGGCTTCCAGATACACAAGCAAAATCAGGAGCTGAGATGGATCTTGAAAGAAGTTGACTAGTGGGCATCAGGTAATGGGGGGGGAAGCAGAATCCAATTATATTGTGGTTTATTTGGAAGTTGAGGGGATATAAGTTACAGCATGTTGAGGCAGGTGTTAAGGAGAAATTACATTCATGTTAACAAAATATCCAAGTGGCTTAAACTAATGTAATTGGTGAGCTACATGAGCAAAGCCTGTTAATGTTAGCTGATACAAAACCAATAAAAGGCAAATAATTAAAAACAATTGGTAATAATGTCAATAAGCAGTTCTCCAAGAGGTTATAGTGATTTTGAAAAGTCAGGTTTATTAAATGTAGTAAAGGTGAAACAGGTTGCAAAGAGTTGTTTTAA